CAGGACAATGGGCTTCCTGTTTTGTGTGTGGGTGGGGGCGGTAGTGGCTTGATGGTTTGTTATAGTGCTTCTCCGTTTCTAGTAGCGATTCGTTTCTGGATGTTGAGCAAATAGTTGAGACAGAGGGACCATGCCTTGGTGGATACTGCTCTGACAATTAGCAGAACAATAGCTTAGCTTGTTAATTGCACTATTATTATTATTATTATTTATTCACAATCACGTGGCACTAGCCAATGAAATGGTGATGTGGGCGATAGCCAGCCATGGCGGTAATACAGCTAGAGGGGGGGAAAGAAAAAGAATGAAAGGGGAACTGAAAAGCAAAAGAAGCTAGGGCAGGGCTGGATATCAACTAGTATGTTGCATTCTGCAGTAGCTGTGTGAATGTATTGTAACATTGGCAGGATTTTAGATGTTGTGGGAGGAGAGACCAATGGCGGTAAGCAAGGAAGAGAGGAGATGTTTGCATAGAGGCAGACCGCGCAATAGGGAAGCGGAGAGAGTTTCTGGTGCGCATGTCTTGAGATTGAGCAAACCAGCTTAGGCAGGAGAGAGCATGAAGAGGAGCAATGCCCAGCTTAATTTTATGAATTGTCTGGCATGCCAAAAAACGCACGCGGACCGAGAGCGGCACAGCAGAAGCAAGGCGGTATAAGTCTGCGCTTGGAGTCAGGCGAGGAAGCCGAAATAATATTTTCAAAAGACGCCTATGCATAACTTCGAGTCGAGCAATCAGTGTTTTAGAAATGCCAGCCCAAATTATGCAGCAGTAATCAAAAATAGGCAGAATGTAAGATGTGTAGATAACATGGCGACAGTCGGTGTGCAGGTGGGTGATGTGTGATGAGAGAAATCCCATTACTGAGCTAACACGGCTGTCTAAATTTTCGATCTGGGATTTCCAGGTTAAGTGTTGGTCGATAATGACGCCAAGATGCTTGTGTTTTTCAACGATGCAGAGCGGGGTTGTGGTGCCAGGAAAGGTGAAGGGACTGGTTACTAATGAAGATAGGTCACAGGAACAACTGGGGGGGGGATACACATTACAGCAGTTTTCGAAGAGTTGGGTTGCAATTTCCATTTTTCCATCCAATGAATAACGCCATCTATGTTAGACTGTAACTTGGCACTAGCCTCGGGGAGAGTGGGTGCTGTCACAAGTAGTGCTGTATCATCAGCATAATAGTGATGTGTGATCCATTTCTGCCAGATCGTTTACATACATAAGGAAGAGGAGAGGCCCCAGGATTGATCCCTGAGGAACTCCAGACCGTACATGCCCTTTGGCAGACAGAGCAGAGCCGACACGCACCCTTTGCTGTCTCCCCGTCAGGTAAGTACTGAGCCACGTGAAGCAAGTACCATGGATTCCATGGCGCGACAGCTTGTATAGGAGCCCGCGTGTCCATACGGTGTCGAAGGCCTTGCTTAGATCAAAGAAACATAGCATGCTGTAATGGCCGTTCTCACGAACAGAAGACATCGATTGAACAAGTCTGAGAAGCTGCCAGGACGTAGAGTCGCCTTTTCGGAATCCAGACTGGGACGGATGTAGAACAGGAGACAGGTAAGTGTATAAGTGGTTGTACATAATACGTTCACACAGCTTGGAGATTGTTGACAATAACGAAATCGGGCGGTAATTCGATGCATCGAGCTTACTTCCCTTGTTCTTAAAGACCGGAGTTACAATTGCGTGTTTCCAAATAGCAGGGAAAGCACCAGTTGCAAAAGTGAGGTTAAAGATGAGGCTGAGAGGGTATGCAATACTGGAACAAAATAGTTTCAGGAGTTCATGAGAAATACCGTCCGCTCCCGCAGCCTTTCGGGTCTTAAGGTTGCGGATTTGCTTTGCCACAGCAGAAGGCGTGGTGGTGACATCTTGCAACGTAGGTGTAGTTCTTCCACGTGATGGGGCGTCGGGTGGCTTGAAGTCTGGCACATTCCATGAAGGATCATCTTGTGTTCCAAAACCAATAAACTGTTCGTTCAAAGCATCTGCCACATCCACAGGGTCAGAATATAGAGTACCAGCGACTGAGAGCTGAGTTACAGTCGTTCTGCTGTTGCCTTGGGGAGATCGAAGCTTCCGGACAAACTGGAATAAACTTGGTGATGCGGGTCTTGCCGTGGATGCACTTAGGGATGAGATGTACAGTCGATGGGCAGTTCGAGACATATTGCGAGTAACGTTTCGCTCTCGTCTGTAAATAGCGAAGTTGTCAGCCGAGGGAAACTTTCGGTAAACACTATACGAATCTCGTTTTTTCTTTATTTGATGTCGGAGGGTACTGGTCAGCCAGGGGGGGTTCATATGGATACGCTTGACAGCCGGCGGCTTCTGCCTGGGCAGAAATCTTGCACAGATGTTATGGAAGATAGAGTAAAAGTTGTCCACAGATATGTCAGGGTCGCGCCTCTCCAGGCTCAAAGCTGCTGGCCAATGTATGTGGGACATGGCAGTATTCATACTCGCGACAGTGTTGCTGTCTAGAGAATCCAAAGAAAATACACTAAAATCAGGGACATCCAGGGGAGTCGAGCGGGCATCACGAGAACGGTATGTGGGCATTTCTGGGCAGGGTACAGTACGGATGTGGCCAACCACGATAGAATGATCGGATTGACCAAGTGGTGCTGTAGCACGGAGGCAGGATATAGAGTCCGGTATATCAGTGACAACTAGGTCGAGAGCTGCCCCCATGCCAGACAATGACTCATGTGTTGGAAAATTTACGAGCTGCGTGAGAGAGAACATGCCGAATAGACTGTGAAGCTGGCGACCAGCGGCATCCGTGGTAGTTCCATGCCAATGACATGACTTAGCATTAAAGTCTCCCATCAACATGATAGATGTTGTTCGGTTCTTAAGAGTACTTAGACAGTGCTGGAGGGAATTGCAGAAGGTGTTGATACTTGATGGAGTAAGGGCTGGGGGTCGATATACTGCACCAATAACCAACTTCTTCACATGAGGCGCCTCTGGGAAATGTATGTTAGCAGATGACAGGGCTATTTCCACCCATGTGGCTTCCAGGAGAGGGATACTGAGGTCAGATCGATGGGTGACCTTTGGAAACATCCCAGACCGTACCATGATACAGACGCCGCCATATGCATGGGTGGCATCGGTAGCTGACCTGTTTTCATCTGGCGGACGATCTCGGCGAAAACAGTCATATCCAGGGACCGTGAAAGACGACTGTGGAGAGAGCCATGTTTCCGTTATGCAAACAATGAGGGGTTTAACTGTGGAACAAATGTGAGCCAGCTCGGCAGTCTTGTTCTTAATGGACCTGGCATTGATGCACATTATAGGCTGTGATCCTGCGGTTGGCTGTGAAAGCGGGTAAAAAGGCTGAGCTAATGGATTAAGTGTGCTGTTAGTAGTAATGTTTGGGGAACAGTGAGGAAGTATCGGGGGGTTGAGGTTCATTATTGTGCAGACTGATCGACGGTTGTGTTGTCAGCTGTACTTATTCTGTCAGCCTTGAATCGCCATTCTCGAGCTGTCACTCCGTCAGGCCAAAAGTCAGTGTTTTGCACAGCTTCCCAGTCATCTTCTGTGACGACTACGTGCGCGTACGCTAGGCCAAAGTACTTTGTCTCAGAGACGGAGCATTTCAGTACAGTCACTTGCTTGTTTTCGCACCATTTTGCGATGGAGGAAGCAGAGCAACCAGGGTGAATTCTTCCAACATGAACAGCTTTGCATTTGGTACGATGGGCACTGCGCAGTTGCTCATGTTTGCGGGGTGGGCGCTGGTAGTATGAAATGACGTTTGTCCGGAGGGCTTGATCAGTATGTGTCCCCGTATTGAAGGTAGCTGACTGTGTCATGGGAGAATGCGATGGGAAGTGAGCTTTGGGACGTGCAGATACTACTTTTGCACTGTACGAGTACGGGTTGACTGCAGAGTGCGTATTCCGTGCCTGTGCTGCTGCATCCAGCTCAGGAGAGACTTCTGCTACGGGTACGCTAAGTACGGGTGCGTCAGGTGCGGGTGTAACCTTTTTGAATTCCGAACTGCCAATTTCTCTCTTCAGAACTTCAATTTCGGCGTGGAGGGCTGAAATTTCGGCTTTTTGGCCAACCTTCAGTGCCACTATTTCAATTCTCAGGTTTTCAATACAGGTCGTCAAAGATAATAATGCATTCTCTAGCCTGGATACATACGTTCCGGCTCGTGCATCCACACCAAATGCCCGGAGGCTCTCCACCAGCTCAGCACGGGACAGCTTACTCACGCCCTCTATGCTGTGTTTTGTAGCCAGTTTCCGCAGGTCGTCGAATCCCAGCAAAGCTAAGTCCTGGGTCCCCTGGGCCTCCGACGCGTCAGAGTCCATGCCTACCAACTACTACTACCCGCTACTGTGCTCCAGACCGGCCTGGTGCCGGCTGGGCTACTGGAAATCTACAAAGACTACGGAGCTCTAAAAACTCAACCTGACCTCAAAATAACACGTTACTTTTTAATAGTGGTCTACTTTAATCGCCACATTAGATTGTCCAAATTGTAGTTTGTGTATGGTCTTGTGTTTCTTGCAGGCAGAGACCAGCTGCTCGCGAAGTGCTCCGGTTTATTCAAGCATCCCCCTGTGCTTGCCTGACATTGACGCCTCTTAGCGCACCCCGGCTCTTACTGGTCTTAGCGCACCCTGGCTCTTACTAGTCTTAGCGCACCCTGGCTTTTACTTGTCTTAGCGCACCCTGGCTCTTACTAGTCTTAGCGCACCTTGGCTCTTACTAGTCTTAGAGCACCCTGGCTTTTACTTGTCTTAGCGCACCCTGGCTCTTACTAGTCTTAGCGCACCTTGGCTCTTACTAGTCTCATCGCACCCTGGCTTTTACTTGTCTTAGCGCACCCTGGCTCTAACTAGTCTTAGCGCACCCTGGTTCTTACTAGTCTTAGCGCACCCTGGCTCTTACTAGTCTTAGCGCACCCTGGCTCTTTACACACGTTCTAGTAAGGACTCTACCCAGCACAGAAGCAGATCAGCAGCCCACTGTCCACGTCGCGGCGTTTCCTAACCTCCATCGAGTCCAGACAGGACGGTATACTCAATGGCAGACCAAGAGCGACCTGACAGTGACAGACTACCGGCACAAACACCTCCTCGTCAGGACGTCGACGCAGGGAAAACCCCTACAGAGCATGACGATCCATACAGTAGTCCGATAGTATCGCCGACACCAGACAATCTGAATGTTGGTGAACCTGATTCGCGTGGACACAATCCACACCCGTACTATGAGCAATTTGCACGTCGTCGTCCACGCATTCAGCCAGAGACAGAGGCTGAAGAGCAGCAGCAGCCGCCAGTACAGGACGCACGTTCAGTCATCGATGATATCGGACCAGTTCGTCGACGATTGACCCTGCGAGGTTCGGAAGACATTCCAGACGGAACACAGTTTAGTCGGTACATCGGATCACCCACCACGTCGCGCGTCCTATCAAGATACACGGCTGACACGGAAGACGTTGACAGGGATGGCGAGCGAGGCCTACAAGATATCAACAAGGCGAGGAACCTTCGAGAGAACTACAAAACGAACAGCAGCTCATCAAGGGAGGATGAAACCGACGGCAATGTCGAACATCAATCCAGTCAACAGCAGCAGCAGCCGCAGCAACAACAGCCACGGACCAAGCTAGGAGGTGGCAAAGGTCGCAAAGATCGCAAGGTATCGTTTGCAGACGAGGTTCAGATTAGCAGTAGTCGTAAACCGTCACTGAGGTTTTCCTCGAGCAGTACAGCTCCTCGAACTGATAGCTTGGCTAGTGACGTCACACTGCCCGAGCTGCCGGTGAATGAAGAGGGCGTGGAGGGACAGTCTGCTACGGAATTGGAGGAAGAGCGGAGAGAGGGGACGCACTCCACCCCGGAGGATTTGCTGAACTACATAACGTGGGCTGAAGTCGTCCAGCAGATCATGGAAGACTTTCGTCGCACTGATATTGATGAAGATAGTTCAACTCTCAGAGTATTTAGTCGGCATACTATCACACACGCCATCGAAGAGGCGTTGAGAGGTCTGGTTGCAGAAACGACCCAGGGGGATCTCTCGCTCAACGTCGAGCAGATCGCTAATGAATGGTATCGAGGCCGCTTTCATGGTGATGTGTCGGAAACTCTTCACTTCCGCGTGAAAGGAATACTCAAGCGTGCTGCCGACGCCGAGTTGCTAGGCAACAGATGGACTGAATTTCAGCTGGACCTGCTGAAGTACTTGAGTACGTTCACTCCCCAGTTGCCTAGCGACGTGAAATTTGACGTCCAAGAAATCGAGGAGTACGGCCTTTTGAAAGACCACGACCAGGAGCGCTTCAACACGGTTTCAGATTGGCTGGACAAGACTCTAGAGGTCGACAGGCGGCCTAACGTCTTCGCTCGTCTTGCCTCGCACCCTCGTGTGTCTGGTACGAATAGCGAGCAAGGATTTCTAGACCAGAGCGAATGGTACGTGATCAGCCCCACATCCAGTACTGATCGTATACTTGTGCAAAGTGACGATGATCGAGATTCGCTGTTCACAGCCTCGCTAGACCAGGACGATATTGCCGCTGCAAGTCAAGTTCATTCAAAACCCACTCGAAGTACAACTACTGGCGCTTGTTCTAGTGACAGCAGTGGATCTGCATCCCCAAATCCTCCACTTGCTACAGCCGCTGAAGTTCAAGATCATTTGATACGCTTAGCGGCTGACCAGGAGGCGGCTGCGGACCAGCAAACTGCTGAGCGAGCTCGTGATAAAAGTCAGAGAGCTAAAAAGACCGTGCGATTTGACCTAACTGAGGAACAGCTCCAAGACGAGGCAGGACGGTACGAAGAAGAAACAGGATTGGATCTCACCGAAGAGGAGCGCAACGCGCTGCGAAAACGTGCCCGCAGTCGCACGCTCTCGCGAGAGGATAGCAAACGTGAAAAATCGTACAACCCATACGCGCGAACAGCGCGACGTCCTAGATTTGCCTCACGTGTTACTCTACTGGAACAAGTGAGACGATTGCCGAAACGCTGGCCGACGATGAGTCGCGTTCATGATCAACCGCCGCCACGTCACTTGACGTTGGAAATGCTGGAGGACTGCAGCAAGGAGCAGGGCCCAAAGGGAGAGGAAGCGCTTATTGTGCTGGAGGATGGCTTCGACTTTGACCAAGTCAAAGTGCTCCGGGTCGAATACAAAAGTAAGGAAAATAATAGTTATGTGTCTGCTTGCTTGGTCCGCTGACGGCTGTGTGACTGTGAGCACGTGTCCTACCGACCATGCATGGTCAGTTGTCACTAGCTTCTACACGTACAGTCAGTAGTACTGGCTCGTGGTGGAGCAGGTGGAACACTTGCGACTTGTAATGATTCATTTTGTGATTGTGCGTTTTCAGTAGTGCTCAGCTGACTGCCTGCTGCTCACGCTTCGTTCGGTGTGTCAGCTGAATGACTGGAAAATACCACGTTTTTTTCTATAATCGGAGTGTGAAAGTCACTGCGTCAGAAGTCGTGAACTAAAAGTTTTGGGGTGAATTAAATAATTGGATTCACTCTGACTATAGCGATGCACAGTGTGAGATGGGAAGGGTCCTTGTGCAGCATACGTTTACCGTTATTTTGGAACGGTGCGCAGACCGCACAAACTCTGGCAGCTGCCGGTTAAACTTGTTTTTCTTGTTCACGTTGTTACCTTGTACAGTAAAACCTGTGACTAAGGACTACCCCTTGGGGCCACAGAAAGCGGTCTTTCTGTTGCAGGTGGTCTTTAGTTAGGGGTTTGCACCGCACAACCATACATGAATGTGAGACCGTCCTTGCCTGGCGAAGTGGTTTTTAGTACCAGGCTGGTCGCTAGTCACGTTGGTCTTTAGTTACAGGTTTTACTGTAGTAGCAGGCTGGTCGCTAGTCACGGTGGTCTTTAGTTACAGGTTTTACTGTAGTACCAGGCTGGTCGCTAGTCACGGTGGTCTTTAGTTACAGGTTTTACTGTAGTACCAGGCTGGTTGCTAGTCACGGTGGTCTTTAGTTACAGGTTTTACTGTAGTACCAGGCTGGTCGCTAGTCACGGTGGTCTTTAGTTACAGGTTTTACTGTAGTACCAGGCTGGTCGCTAGTCAGGGGGGTCTTTAGTTACAGGTTTTACTGTAGTACCAGGCTGGTCGCTAGTCACGGTGGTCTTTAGTTACAGGTTTTACTGTAGTACCAGGCTGGTTGCTAGTCACGGTGGTCTTTAGTTACAGGTTTTACTGTAGTACCAGGCTGGTCGCTAGTCACGGTGGTCTTTAGTTACAGGTTGTACTGTAGTACCAGGCTGGTCGCTAGTCACGGTGGTCTTTAGTTACAGGTTGTGCTGTAGTACCAGGCTGGTCCCTAGTCACGGTGGTCTTTAGTTACAGGTTTTACTGTAGTACCAGGCTGGTTGCTAGTCACGGTGGTCTTTAGTTACAGGTTTTACTGTAGTACCAGGCTGGTCGCTAGTCACGGTGGTCTTTAGTTACAGGTTTTACTGTAGTACCAGGCTGGTCGCTAGTCACGGTGGTCTTTAGTTACAGGTTTTACTGTAGTACCAGGCTGGTTGCTAGTCACGGTGGTCTTTAGTTACAGGTTGTACTGTAGTACCAGGCTGGTCCCTAGTCACGGTGGTCTTTAGTTACAGGTTTTACTGTAGTAGCAGGCTGGTCGCTAGTCACGGTGGTCTTTAGTTACAGGTTTTACTGTAGTACCAGGCTGGTTGCCAGTCATGTTGGTCTTTAGTTACAGGTTTTACTGTAGTACCAGGCTGGTCGCTAGTCACGGTGGTCTTTAGTTACAGGTTGTACTGTAGTACCAGGCTGGTCGCTAGTCACGGTGGTCTTTAGTTACAGGTTTTACTGTAGTACCAGGCTGGTCGCTAGTCACGGTGGTCTTTAGTTACAGGTTTTACTGTAGTACCAGGCTGGTTGCTAGTCACGGTGGTCTTTAGTTACAGGTTGTACTGTAGTACCAGGCTGGTCCCTAGTCACGGTGGTCTTTAGTTACAGGTTTTACTGTAGTAGCAGGCTGGTCGCTAGTCACGGTGGTCTTTAGTTACAGGTTTTACTGTAGTACCAGGCTGGTTGCTAGTCACGGTGGTCTTTAGTTACAGGTTGTACTGTAGTACCAGGCTGGTCCCTAGTCACGGTGGTCTTTAGTTACAGGTTTTACTGTAGTAGCAGGCTGGTCGCTAGTCACGGTGGTCTTTAGTTATAGGTTTTACTGTATTTGGTCGGCCAGTCGAGCAGTAATTCTGAGCTCCACTTTCTGATGAGACCTAACGGGATAGAAACAGATATAGCTGTGCAGAGATTACTTGTGTACAGTCAAATCTGTTGGAGCAAGAAAAAGCGGTCTCTTAAGGCAGATGGTCTCTTACGGCAGATGTATGGTAAATCCGGCATACCGGGCATGCATATATGTTTCCATGTACTCAAATCGACGAGAATAATTTGGTTTTTAATATCATTTTATTGGATATTCAATAGAATATAGGGGTGCCAGGGCCAGTCGATAGCACTTGCAAGACAGCGCATTTTCACACCTTGCAGTTGACAGCCCACTGGCTAGTACAGTTTTGCACCTGACTGAACGTGGGTCGCGGTCGCTTACAGCAGATTTGAATGCAGCCACCGTGCATGAAACCGCGGTCACTCTGGACAGATCAATTTGTATGTGAAACCGTCGGTGCACGGAAAATCGGTCGCTAACGTAAGATGGTCGCCTACAGCAGAGGTCGCTAACGGCATACTTTACTGTATATGTATGTTCGTGTGTACATATGTGTGTATGTGTGTGTGTGTGTGTGTGTGTGTGTGTTTGTACGTATGTGTGAACGTATCTGCGTGTGTATGTTTGTGGCATGTGTATGCATGTGTTCATGTGTGTTCATGTGTCTGCATCACCTCATCTCTCTAGATGTTCAGACGATAGACAATCTGTGGCGACTGACACAGCTGACAAGACTAACGCTGAGTAATAATGTCATAGAGGCAATGGAGGGATTCGATGCTCTCGTGCATCTGGAGATACTTGGTACGTAGTGTGTACACTCAAACGTCTCTTATCTGAACACGTCAGATACGGGCATGTCTCTTAACCGGGCATCTTCAGCTTGAGTTCCTATGGCAAAAATGCTTCGAATTAGGGGGGGTTTGACTTTTTTCGTATGCGCTAGTCACGGTTTATTTGTCACGGCCAACCTGTGAAATCCACACATTTTCATCAATGGAATCTTCTCGTATCCTGAACATGTGCAATATGTGGCCAATAAGATTCTTCGAGAATGTATATGATACATGGTCAGGGTTGAATTTACTGTCATTTTTTGCATAGCAGTTTTCGCGACGCAAACGCCAAAATGCGTAGCAGTCCTTGACTTTTGATTAGTACTTTTTCTTCCACGAAGACCGACTAAAATTTCTCAGTCCACGGAGGGAGGACTCGTGCTGTCTGCATAGCTGGCAGAAAATTAGCGTCACCGCTGCACCTGTAGCTTTCTTAGAACCAAGCCATTTCTTCTGGACATCGACCTCTGCCACCCACTTCTCAAAGGTACTCTGTCGTACAGACATGTTGGAGGCAGAACCAGACTAGACAAAAACTACAGCTTGGGCAATTGTCAGAGAGAAGGACGAACGTGATTCCAAAAGTTCCTCACGACCAGAAAGACCGACTGGCTACAAGCAGAAAGCTATAGTATCACGAAAAGAGGTAAGTGAACCAGAAAGAAGAAAACAAACAACAAGACCTCCGCCGGGATCGTGGAGGAAAGATGATAATCGTCAGTACGGAAAGTACATGTACATGAACTTACTGAACTTACTGAATGAAAGCCGCGCAAAGTGGTACGTGTAGTACAGTTCAAGTAGGACACCAGTACAGTCAGTATGTGCACGCGGAGCCAGCCACAGTTCACAGGTACATGTACTAGAAATCACACCTTCCCGAGAAAAAAGCGGGGTCCGTGCACTGTACACAATGGTACAGGTGTAGTGAGTGTACGACATGGTCACAGCATCACTTTTACTGACTGCGCGAGCTAGTATGCAGTGCCGTTTATGCATCGCAGTTTCCTGCGAGTCGCTGTGATTTTTGAGTCGCACTCGATCGATTTTGAATCGCAAACTGCGATGCGATACCGGATAAATTCATCCCTGCATGGTAGATGCGTATCACTGGGATACAGGCAGTGCTCGGTCCCAAGGTGCCCGGATAAGAGACATCCGAGTCAACAGCTGACTCCTGAAGTCACCATCATGCATTCTGTGTGTGTGACCTCTACCCTATGTTGCTTGCCGAACCGGATCATGTCCTTTCAGGGGGAACACATTGGTACCTACAGGTTCAGACGAAACACAAAGTGCACATGAGAACGTTGTCTAAATTTCGTACTGCATGTACATGTATGTCATTGGGCATGGATACCTGGCTACATGTATGTCATTGGGCATGGATACCTGGCTAACACAGTCTATAAGTATGTCATTGGGCATGGATACCTGGCTTATACAGTCTATAAGTCTGGTACATATGCCTGTCGCATAATGGGCAATATTCTTGCATTGCGACATTATCATGATGTCATCACGTATTTCCGACATGTTTTATAGTGTGCATGTGACAGCATCCGACTTCAGGTACTGTATGACGCACTCTGTCTCTGTCCCTGCCTCTCCCTCTGTCTCTCTCTTCCTCTGTCTCTCTCTCTTTCTGTCTCTCTCTCTCTATCTCTATCTCTCTCTCTCTCTCTCTCTCTCTCTCTCTCTCTCTCTCTCTCTCTCTCTCTCTCTCTCTCTCTCTCTCTCTTCCTCCGTCTCTCTCTCTCTCTCTCTCTCTCTCTCTCTCTCTCTCTCTCTCATGCATATTATTTACAGCCTTTGGTGTGTGACCTGAGGCTGATAGCGTGGAAAACTTGGGCTCGATGTCACGATTATTGTTTGTTCTGGCTTTGTTGGTGTAGATTTGTCGTTCAACAATATCAAAGTGATCCAAGGACTGGAGAAGAACACGAAGCTGACAGAGATGGCACTAGCACACAATATGATTATTCAGCCAGATAACCTGCTGCACCTGAGCAAGCTAGAAGTACTCACTTTCTCCCATAACTGTATCAACGATCCTGAACATGTAAGATACTGTTACCGACAATCACACTTTCCTAAATGTGTGTGTGTGTGTGTGTGCCAGCTAGTTCGGCTGGTAGGTACACTTATGCCTGATTGTGTTGGGTCTGTTGCCAACAGGCTCGGCTGCTTGAAGGTGTAATGTTGTACCTGCCACCTTTGTTGGTTCCAGGGTTCATATACTTTCTATTTGAAGTATACATACCTGTTAACCATGGACTGCTTATGGCTAGATTAACTCTTGTGTAATCAATGGTGCTAGTTAAGCTTTTATCAGATCCACTCTGATTTAGCCACTCACACTAGTAGCAAATATTACCTTCACTGGGGGCAGGGGTAACTGCAGTTGGATCCCGGGACGGATACCTGATGCCGTCAATCCTTTTTCTGCACCTTGTCCTCACCCACTTACTGAGGTGTGGTGAGCCCATAAGTGGGATCATTTTCAAGTCCACCCAGAGTTTTGGGGATTTCAGGGGGTGTCGGCCGTTGGGCGGTTCAATAACCAATTGAGTCATCTTTCTAAGATTCCTTTTGAGTCTCTCTCCCCTCTCCCGGGGGGACTCACGTGACCAGTTTTGGCAGTGAGCAACAAGTACAAATACAAGTGTGTATGTGTGTGTATGTGTGTGTATGTGTGTGTATGTGTATGTGTGTGTGTGGGGGGGGGGGGGGGTGGGGTGTGCCCGTGTGTGTATGTATGTGTTAATGTGGATATCTGTCATGGCATGGCCTCATGCAACCAATACCACTGCTGTCACTTTGCGGAGCCAAGGGCTGAAGATGTAGATGCAGCAGACACGAGAGCAGACTTGATAGCATCTCACCAGTACCAGCATTCTCTCGCCAGTTTGCAGTTGTGTTCAATGTCTGCTTGTCTATGCATAATGTCTTCTTCTTGCCCTGGCTTGATCTTTGTATGCAGCTGTTATACTTCCGTCGGATCAAGAGTTTGCGTAGTTTGACGGTCGACCACAATCCGTGTGGGGAAGAGCCTAATATCGCAGCACTCTGCATCTCGCACATCCCACAGCTGATCTATCTGAACTTCAGATTCATTACAACTGATATGGTAAGTAGTCATAGTTACGGGTGCAACCCTCTGTAGTAGACAATCCGGGGGGGGGGGGGGCAATTTTTTGTCTTACTATCTACTATCCGGACTTGGATGTACGACTATTAAATGCGTTTGTTTGTTTGAGAGAGAGAGAGAGAGAAGAAGAAGAAGAAGAAGAAGAAGAAGAAGAAGAAGAAGAAGAAGAAGAAGAAGAAGAAGAAGAAGAAGAAGAAGGAAAGTAATTCGCACCAATAAAAACTGGTGGGTAAAAAACCGTCTCGGCTGTTTTTTAGGCAGTGACGGAGAAAGTAAAAGGAGAAAAGAAAAAGAAAAAGGAAGCGGATGCCACTGTGGGCCAATGCCTGGGGTTGAGCAAAAGCGGTGAAGGCTAAAAAGCTCTTCAGAGCGGGAGCAGGCCAGTGCTCAGCGTAGTGCAATATGGACGAGACTGTTGTAGTGAAGTTGTGGACGAGACTGTTGTAGTGAATTTGTGTTGTGGCGTCGTGCAGCTTAACAGCAGCTTGGTGCAGCGAAAGCATACAGCGAATGGCAGCGCGCAGTGTTGTGGCTTTGTGCAATAGTAGCTCTAAGCGGCGAAAGCATCTACTGATAGACTCGCTCCAGCGCGGCGCAGCACAAGCAAGTAGACTAGAAAAACGAGAAAAAAAACGAAGAAGAAGAAGAAGAAGAAGAAGAAGAAGAAGAAGAAGGGAAATGCTCACCATCAAATGGTGGATAAAAACCGTTTCGACTGCTTTTTAGACAGTAACGGGTAAAGAAAAAAGGAAAAAGAAACTCATATAATGCAATTCGAAGAGATAGGCCCCCAGTACAGTTGGGGTGTGGTTGTGTCCGTATGGTATGGTGTGTCATGTACAGGTAGTTGCGTTGTGATGTATGGTAATTTGTAGGGCGAATGTCGAGTAGGCTATGAAAATAACGATTCGACAAGAACAAGTGACTACGAGAGGTTGGCAAGGTTGGCGATCGTCCACCCCCGGCCCTTTAGAGGCCGGAATGGCGAGTTCAAATCTTGATTTTAAGGACGTCCAACTATCCTCGCTGGGTGGCCGATCGCCCACCAAGAAGAAGAAGAAGAAGAAGAAGAAGAAGAAGGAAAGTAATTCGCACCATTAAAAACTGGTGGGTAAAAAACCGTCTCGACTGTTTTTTAGGCAGTGACGGAGAAAGTAAAAGGAGAAAAGAAAAAGAAAAAGGAAGCGGATGCCACTGTGGGCCAATGCCTGGGGTTGAGCAAAAGCAGTGAAGGCTAAAAAGCTCTTCAGAGCGGGAGCAGGCCAGTGCTCAGCGTAGTGCAATATGGACGAGACTGTTGTAGTGAAGTTGTGGACGAGACTGTTGTAGTGAATTTGTGTTGTGGCGTCGTGCAGCTTAACAGCAGCTTGGTGCAGCGAAAGCATACAGCGAATGGCAGCGCGCAGTGTTGTGGCTTTGTGCAATAGTAGCTCTAAGCGGCGAAAGCATCTACTGATAGACTCGCTCCAGCGCGGCGCAGCACAAGCAAGTATACTAGAAAAACGAAAAAAAAGCGAACGAAAGCTCGACTTGGTTGGCGAACACCCACCCCCGGCCCTTTAGAAGCCGGTGTGGCGAGTTAAAACCAAGATTTGAAGGGTACCCAACTATCCTCGCTGGGTGGCTGTCCGCCAACCAAGTGCCAACAAACTGCCTCTGGGGGACTTTTAAAACAGTGGCCAGTCGCGCCAAGCCTTCTCACGTCGCCTCAGCCAGATAACGTAGCTGGAATTTAGTGCTGCGTTTCTGCAGTTCCTTCTTAATTGGCAGAAGAAGAAGAAGAAGAAGAAGAAGAAGAAGAAGAAGAAGAAGAAGAAGAAGAAGAAGAAGAAGAAGAAGAAGAAGAAGAAGAAGAAGAAGAAGAAGAAGAAGGGAAATGCTCACCATCAAATGGTGGATAAAAACCGTTTCGACTGCTTTTTAGACAGTAACGGGTAAAGAAAAAAGGAAAAAGAAACTCATATAATGCAATTCGAAGAGATAGGCCCCCAGTACAGTTGGGGTGTGGTTGTGTCCGTATGGTATGGTGTGTCATGTACAGGTAGTTGCGTTGTGATGTATGGTAATTTGTAGGGCGAATGTCGAGAAGGCTATGAAAATAACGATTCGACAAGAACAAGTGACTACGAGAGGTTGGCAAGGTTGGCGATCGTCCACCCCCGGCCCTTTAGAGGCCGGAATGGCGAGTTCAAATCTTGATTTTAAGGACGTCCAACTATCCTCGCTGGGTGGCCGATCGCCCACCAAGTGCTCTACAACAGGTTCACCAAACAGTTTTAATACAACGGCCAGTCGCGCCATGTTCGCTCCCTTCGCCTTAGCCATAGGACATAGCTTGAGTTCAGCGCTGCTTGGCGACAATTCCTCCGCAAGAGCCTGCGCTGTTCCTTAGTGCAGCGCAAGGATCTCGCGAAGGAATCCAAGCTGGTGGATATGGCGCCTCTCGCTCCCACCTCTGCTGTGTGACTTTCCGTATCCCAGCCATTCCTTACACACGCGCTATGAAGGTGACGATAGCGTTCGATTTTGATTTCGCGCGATTGTGCAAAGCGATCTTCACTACATACCGTGAGTTCCAGCCACAGAACTCTTCTCAATTCTTTGGAGAAGAGCACTATGTCTGGACGACAGGTTGTAGGTGCTATGAAGTGGGGGAAAACAAGTTTCTCATCCTTCATGTCCACCAGGACCTGCCAGTCTGCTGAGCTAGTTACGAATTGGTCATTTAGCCGTTTGCGTTGGGAGGGGGGCTGTTTGGGGAGATTCTCTCCTGCCTTGCAGAAAGTTATGTAATCAATTCTCTTCTGATTACTCTGCGTTTCTGCTGATGCCGTGGCCTTTTGATAAGTTTGGATGGTTTCGTTTACTTGTTTTACTATGCATTTCAGTACGTTGTCGTGGCGCCAGGTATATCTGCCCTGGTGGAGGGCTGTTGGACATGCTGATAATATGTGACGGAGCGTAGCTTGCCTGTTGCATAGAGGGCATTGTTGTTCGACCACAGAGTTACCCCACCTCCTCAGATTGTCAACTGTTGGTAGTGTGTTTAATACACAGTTTAGTTGAAAGGAGAAAGTCCTCCCGTAGCCTTCGTCCAACAGTTTTTTCCAAGTGAGGTCTTCAAACATCGTGTCTCTCCACTTTAACCAGCTGCCTTGCATTTGCAGGCTTTTGAGGTGGGATAGCTGGTCTTGGCAGTCACCTTCATGAATGGTATTGAGTATTTGTTTTCTAGGTTTGATTTTCTCTTGTTTGTCATGCCTAAAGCCGAGTCCTGCCCTGCCTTGCTGGAGGTTAGTTGGACTAGCTTCAGAGATCGCTGCCTCGGCACATTCCATTTCTTTTATTGCGGAGTATTGTCTTGTGAGCAGATACTGTTGTTTGCTGTGATGTTGGTACAGGTTTGCCATGTTCTTGTCGCTGCTGTTCTTGATGATAGAAGAAGAAGAAGAAGAAGAAGAAGAAGAAGAAGAAGAAGAAGAAGAAGAAGAAGAAGAAGAAGAAGAAGAAGAAGAAGAAGAAGAAGAAGAAGAAGAAGAAGAAGAAGAAGAAGAAGAAGAAGAAGAAGAAGAAGAAGAAGAAGAAGAAGAAGAAGAAGAAGAAGAAGAAGAAGAAGAAGAAGAAGAAGAAGAAGAAGAAGAAGAAGAAGAAGAAGAAGAAGAAGAAGAAGAAGAAGAAGAAGAAGAAGAAGAAGAAGAAGAAGAAGAAGAAGAAGAAGAAGAAGAGAGAAGAAGAAGAAGAAGAAGAAGAAGAAGAAGAAGAAGAAGAAGAAGAAGAAGAAGAAGAAGAAGAAGAAGAAGAAGAAGAAGAAGAAGAAGAAGAAGAAGAAGAAGAAGAAGAAGAAGAAGAAGAAGAAGAAGAAGAAGAAGAAGAAGAAGAAGAAGAAGAAGAAGAAGAAAAGAAGAAGAAGAAGAAGAAGAAGAAGAAAGAAGAAGAAGAAGAAGAAGAAGAAGAAGAAGAAGAAGAAGAAGAAGAAGAAGAAGAAGAAGAAGAAGAAGAAGAAGAAGAAGAAGAAGAAGAAGAAGAAGAAGAGGAAGAAGGGGGGGGGACATCACAGCACAAGTTGCTATGTCTAACATAGCTTGTTCGTTATCATCGCTTCGTCGATGGCCAGGAGTATGAGTAGGTGTGTGTGTGTATATGTGTGTGTGTGTTGTGTGTGTGTTTGTGTGTGTGTGGGGGGGGGTGAGTATGTGTGTGCGTGTGTGTCTGTGTGTGTATTTGTGTATGTGCCGTGTCAACATACTGACGTCTGTCTTCACAGAGAAATGA